AGGCAAACGTTTAATGGTTATAAAAATAAGGGCAATAATCAATCTTGCCAAACGCCAATACTGTAAAAGTACACTGTCGGGAAACAGTSATGCGYAGAGGCAGAGAATTAGCGGAAATTAAAAGTYATGACTTGGAAATGGTACGAAGAAAGCAGTTCAAGGTCACGGAGCCTCAGCTKTAAGCAACACCCACAACACCATTATAGTGATTACATAAGGTACAGAATGACTATCTGTTCAAGGCAAAAGTGCCGTGGCTTCGTAAACGCACACAAAATCTGCTCTATTATTTCACTTTGCAGCGGTTAGTGGTGGACTGTGCRCAATCTSGGACATKCTAGATTAATGAAATCTATTCGTGAACGTATGACGTTGTTGAAAAGGCGGGCGTCATGGTAGAATGCCTGATGAGCTGTTGMACAAACATGCAAGGTTTTGAAATTGTGGCTAGTCTTGGGACTTTCTATATGGCTCAACACATCGAGATTCATAATTAAAATGTCGTCAAACTACATTGTAGTATATATATATAGCTGACCCCTCCAGCCTTAGCGTGATTCAGGATAAATCGTCACGTTTCGTGACCTCTCTAACATAAATACATATATCACGATATTTACAAGGTTGCAAAGCGCTTGGAATCGTAATAAAATATGGTATATATTATATAAATGTTAAATAGAAGCTATACTACGTTCATAATTACAGTTTTCAACTCTAAATATCCATAAACAAAGGTAAGAATGCTTCGGCAACTTAAATCAATGGTTATAAGTTCACAAACCTGAAGCCCAGTCGCGCCTACACAATCTATATCGTTTTCACAAGTTTGAGAATGACTTTCTGCGGGCTTTCTGCAACCGATACTCCACAAAAACTAGGCTGATGACTAGCTTTCCACAGTTTAACATGTGCCCAAGTTATTATGCTATTATTGATGTTATGAAAAGCCCGTGAGCTTCAAAGGAATCAATGAGGGATGAAAGACGACGTCACAACGCATACATCAAAGTTAACTATTAACTGTTTTGTCTTTTCACACGTTTGACAGAACGTTAATATATGAACCTGCTTGTAATAAAAGAAAACATAAATAAAACAAATAATGACCCAGTTGCACACATGATGGACAAAAAAGTGGAAAAGGCCAACTTGCCCAGCCAATCTTGCGCTTTTTGAAATGATTCCGAAAACGATTCCTCAAAATGCATGCATCTAAGAATATCTGCACTTAAGCAAGAAATAATTTTAATTTATACCTTTGCAAAAAGCATTTGAAAATTTAACTACCGACGACGACTCTTACGTTGAACGGGATTCCTGTGTAACAATTAATAATTGATTGACTTGTCATCCATTGTTTTGATATCTTGTCACAAGATTGACAAAGATCAAGGAAACAAGGTTTACAGAAGTTACGGGTTACATTTCATGAAATGAAGGTCGAACTTTCGCTTTATTTTACTATTATAATACTGGTTTGTCAGCAAGGTAAGGTTTTGCATAAAACTCCCGGAAATATTTAGCAAATTATTCATGTTTTAGCGACCTTTAGCTGGTTTCAACATGGCCTCAATATTTGCAAAGTGAAATCGGAACTTCAATGTTAAAATACTGACAGTGTGTCTTTGATAATTATTATTTGCAATCTTAAGCACTTATAAAAGGCGCATTCCAAAACTGTAAACCGTACAAGATCATTCATGAGGACGATTATGACAAGGATCCAAGTACCGTATCAGACAGTAGTAAACACCCTAATGGCTTCTACTGGGGCAATGCAAAGTATCCGGCCACATCAACAAACTTGAATAACGTATGTGTGTTCATTACTAATGTTACAGACCGAGCAGTCGGAGTTATGGTAAGTTACATCTTGTACTTACTTAACTTGCACAAAATTCGCTAATTTGGGACAAATAAGCTACTTATAGGGGGAGGGGACAGGAAGGTTGTGTTTATTGATTACTGTAAGTAATACGTTTTGGTAAAACTGTATTGACACTTTCAGGTGCAGCCACTAATAATTGGAAAGAAAATATGGTATGAAAAATAACCTTTGATAATATTAAATTTGAATAATAGGGATTCGTGTTTATTTGCTCGTATTAAAGTGCACATGACACCATTAGAAATTCATTCTCATCCAAAAGAGAAAATGCTGCTAAGTACTTCTGTGAAGAAACAAATTTATTTTAAATTGTATTTTCTAAGTTATGGGCAGTTGAAACTTAGAAAATGCAAATTAAGTGACGTGTACTAAGGAATGATTTAATATACAAAATCATGAAAGAGGACGTTATTCTTTTTGTTACAYTGGAAAAAGCATTTTCAGCTCTCAATTATTACTATGGTTAATGACTTGAGCTCTTCAACCAAGAACAGCATAGCGCAAACAATGTAAAAAGTCTGGACCAATTCCTTAGTTGACGTCACTTCATTTGCATTTTCAATTTTCAAATGTMTATAACTCAGAATATACTRTTCAAAATCAATTTCTTCCTTYACAGAAATGCTTGTCAGCATGCTACCTTTCGGATAAAAGTGTTTTTCTAAAAGGTGTCATGTGCACTTTAAGGACCACTGATCAAAATGTCAGTAATTTTTATAGCTGAGGTCAATAATTAATGACTATTAATCAATAAATAATTATTTGTAAATGTCATAGGGGTACAATGGTGTCAATATTATTACTTTGCTTTTGCTTTTTAGTGTCAAAGATGATGGAGGAAGCTCAGAATGTGGGGTAATAATAATACTGGAATTAGAATTTGTACTAGATTTTTTACAAATATGATACTGGGTCCGTGCAGAGTATCAAAAACGAAATTTAAGGACTTTTCAAGGACTTTTGAAGAACCAAAATTGTATTTTCAAGGAACATCATAATCATGCTAATTGTACATTCTTACCTCACAACTTCAGCCGAACGGAATAATTCAGAGATCGCTAACGCTTTGTGATAGAGATCTATCTTTTTCAAGGAGTTTTCAAGGACTTTGTAAAACTTTTCAAATTTTCAAGGAGTTTGAAGTGCCCTTGAAAACGAGTTATCAATTCAAGCACTTTTCAAGGATTAAGGACCTGCACGGACCATGATGATATTACATGTATTATTAAAAAATTTGTTTCATTTATTTAATACTTATGTGATTTTATATAATATTTCTCATTAGGAAACCATTAGTAAATGTTTTGAAGCAAACTCTGATACAGCAAAGTATGAATTCTATTGCGATCCTGGCAAAGGTTGCGATACTGATGTACAATTTTGGTACAGGCTTAGACCAAGTGAAGGAGGTAGGAATTATAAGGCCTCTCATTACAGTCAAACTACTACAAAAATTAGAAAATGAAAAAAATGGATTATACACAACTTTCATAGGGTATACAGCTATTTCAAAAAACGTTGTCGGGGAGAACGGTGAACGGCGATTGTCGAAGGGAGATTGCACGACCGAAAGGGACTATGATTACACTGTTTTGATATACAGAATTTCACTTATTGGATTCACCTTACCTAGAAATGGTGACTAAATGGAGCCAATGTTTACCACAGACCACCTTACATCACAAATCAGTTGTTATTGCCTTTCAACTAGCAAAACCCATGACTACTTTCGGTCGTGCAATCGCCGTTCGACCATTGACAATCGCCATTTTACCCGACAACCTTTTTTGAAATAGCTATATGCATCTCTCTGAGTTTCTACTTTTTCAAAAGGTCTGTATAATACTTATAACTGAATGTTGTTTTTAAAATTTCACAGATAAGGATGACTGGTGCACACTGATACGTGATGGTAATGACTTCCCTAACAGCCTGTTTCTTGTGCCAACTAAAGAGACTCCAAATAAAATAAGCCCAACCAGTGGTGGTTCTACTCTTAATTCTCTCAGTATTGGACTTATTATTAGTATTGGACTTATTATGCAGTTCTAATGTCACAGATTTTTTAAGTTWAGTTTTCTACAAGATGTACTTTATATTTTTCTATCGCGCAGAGAACTTTGCACAGAAATGGCTTTCTGATATTATTATGGCTTATCTGAATGGCTCTTAGATATATAATAATATGTTTAATATGATTTAAATTGAAAATAAAAGGTTATTGTTATGATAATTCCAATACTCTGACAAATTTATGCATAGTACAATTGTTAACAATACAAAACTTTTAAAAACAATAGAATAAATACAATACTATATGCATAAATTTGCCACTAACAAGAAAAAGATGTTGGACAGATGTTGAGCATCTTGCAATGGAAAACAAKGGGGTTCAAAAGTTGTATTAGAGCAATTTCCATGTTGCAATTATATTTTTGGTGATGTCATCACAATAACATTATTAAACTACACTTAATTATTCCCAAGAACACCAGTCAATGTTGCCCTTTGGTGGAAAGTGCATACATTTAACTTCATCTCAGGCAACATTGAAAGTAAAGGGTGTGGTAAAGACAAATATACAAAAGTAATTTGGGTTTAGGGGTGGTAGTATGGGAGTATGTAGGACAGCCATAGTAAAATAGAAAGGACTGCAGAGTRTAGTGTGAAAAAATGAACCAATGAAAAAAAAAATAAATGATTATGTAATTATACGAATTAATAGCATGCTTACTTTTACTCACTGAAATAAGCTTAGCTTAATATTGAAATGCTTATAAAAATTATTGTACATTTTACATGTAATACCAATAAAATTTAAAACACAAACGTTCTCTGATTATAAAGAAATAGCGTATAATTACCTGCATTATAAGTCGTTGCCCAAGCCATGTTAGATGTTTCTCTTGACATTCCCATTTGAACTGATAGATTACTCAAAATGGCGGGAAAAAGAACAGCAACACAGGAATCCCAAACTCTAGTTTCCAGTGCCCGCGCAGCTGATTTCACGAGAAGACATTTTTGCTGGTCGTCATTTGTTCTTGTTGTTTTCTGTATAACTTATTAAAACTTCGACATGAGCGACTCAGAACAAGTAAGGTAAGTATATCAATGCTTATTTAATATTTCTGGTAGTTTAATTTAAGTTTTCAATGTTAAATTGATTGTGAATTTTGCTCAAACTCAAGTGCTGTTGGTGAGACGACGCTGCCAGAGAAGGTGGAGACAACTGAGCAACAATTCACAAATATCGCACAAAAACCATCAGTAAGGTACATTGTATGATGGAAACAACATGATGTATAGGAAATTTAAGCTTTCGTCATTTACTCAAAATATATTAGAAACAATCTTGAACTTTAAAAAAAACCTATTTAATAACTCATAGTAACTCTAAACTTTTATGCACTTTTCCATGAATTTCCACTATATTGATGATGAAGTGGCATAATACAGAAATCGAAATATTGAACATCACCTGCAAACCTGCTCTAGATCCTTAAAAATTGTCTATACTTTATAATTATTTTAGGCTGAATGTGCAAATAATACTGAAGCCACACTTGATTCTGAAAAATATGGTTTGTCAAGGAAAATACTTTATCTTTTGTCAAATATCCTTCTAGGAAAGACTGGTACCAAACAGATACCTACGTAACAATCTCATTGCTGATTAARCAATGCAAATCACAACATGTGAACATATCGTATCAGGAAAATCATGTAAGTATACCTTGATGTTAGAATTACTTACATGTACACTACAAGTCCAGTGAGACATTGGACTTAGGGTCTACAGGTCTGGGTTTATTTCCCAGAATGGGTCACCATGTTGTGACCTTAGGCAAACACTGCACTCTCTCAGGCCCGGTTCATACGTCGAGCAAGCATCACGCCGAACCAAATAATTTGAGTTTAGCACATGAACTGCTCGACGTATGAATCAATTGAGTTCAGCGCGACCATAGCACGGCATTGGCACGGCAGCATCAGTCGTGCTGCACGGCAAAAGCTTGACGCTTATTCAAACGTCGAGCTATGGTCATTTTGAATTTAACACACAAAAATGTCTTTTTTTTCGAGAATAATAATGGATCCGATGTAAATTGTGTGTTATTGGACCTTTTCTTATGCTTTTGACAGCACCTGGTTCGATGTATGAATCAGCGCCGTACCAAATGTATTTGGGTCGACATCAATTGACTGTTTGGTTCGGCGCTGCGCTGGCTTGATGTATGAACTGGGCCTTATAGTGTTTTATCTTAACTGAAAGGATGTAAACATCTTCTCTCTCTCTGCACAAGTTCCTGTTTGTGCTCTTAGCACATTCCTAGGACAGTTCTAGTTCTTTCCCTTTTGTCAAAAAATAAGCTGTAGTTGCTAAGAAGAATAAGTTCGAAGGAGAATTTTTACTAGCCAAGTCAGTAGAAATGGAGAAGTTGTATATYTATTTTATTGATGTATTCAATTTGAAATAATCTATTAGATTTAGATGYAAAGTTAGGAATGATCTTGATGAATCAAGATTTTTTTTGTTAACATTTATAGATTGGTGGTAAAATTGAAATTCCTTCTGGTGGGACATATGAACTTGATCTTAATTTATCACACCCTATTGATATTACACAGTGTAAAACAAGGATTCTTCAATCAAAGGTAACTTGGTTTTAATATTCAAATTCATATGGTCATTACTGTACTCCATTTAGAGTTCATACTGTAGTGCTATATCGAAAGGTAGCTGTGCCTTTGCATCAAAGCAAAACGGCAGTAAGGGGGGTCATATGTGCATTCTGTGTTTGTTTGTCTATGCACCCCCTGGATCTGACACTGCCATGCTCCAGATCCGGGGGGTGCATAGACGGACACATGACTCTGTATAGGCAACTATAGAAACCTGTGAAGAATTGTCTGCTGTGAACAAAAGGTATTTTGACATATGGCTAATTACCTGTCTAGTTTTGATGCAAAGACTTTGCTACCTTTGAAGTTGGCATGCACTCCTGAGAACTGTAAAAATGAAGTATTCCCAGACAAGCGAGTCATACTGATTTTTTTGCAATAGATTGAAATAAAGCTAAAAAAGAAAGATGCAATCCATTGGACAGTTTTAGAGCTTGAAAATGTTCAAGAAAATGTGAAAGCAATTCCAGCAGGTAAGTTCAATGGTGTTCACTCAATCTTCCCTGCATCACCATTGTTAATTTGTTTGTTTGTTTTTTCTTTATAGAAACTAAAAGCCAGGAAACTGATGACACCAATACAGCACACCAGTACCCCTCTTCAAGACATGTCGTGAAGGACTGGGATCGCTTAGCAGCAGAAATCACAAAGAATGATGATGACAAGGAAGAAGGTGAAGCAGCTCTTAATGCRCTTTTCCAGAAAATTTATGGCGAAGGTGGCGACCAAGTCAAAAAAGCAATGAACAAATCATTTGTTGAATCTGGTGGTACAGTTTTGAGCACAAATTGGGATGAAGTAAGCAAAGCTAAAGTTGATAGAAAACCTCCTGATGGCATGGAATGGAAAAATTGGGAAAAATAGTGACATTCAATTTTACTAAAATTTGAAGCATTCTGCATTCTTTTAGTGGCCAGGAGCCTTAGCTTTTAAAATGGACTAGGCCTTATTTGTCCACAATTGGCACAGGAAGCCCATATCGTGTTTTGTAACGTGTCATGCAATGCTGTTTTGATTGTGTGTAAATGTTGCCCAAACACCCATCAGTTTTATGTGTACACAGGTAGTCCAAAYTACTAAAGCATGCTTGAAAATAGTAGCAGGATTATTGCTCAAAATCGTATTTTGAATGCTGTTTTAATAGTCTGAGTCTCTTCACTTTTGAATTAAAACTCACAACTATAGCTTCTTTTCATCAATTGTTCAATGAGAGGTGGCAGTATTTGAAGCTTATTGTATAATTTGCCTTGCTTTTATTGTGTAAACTGATCACAAAATGTAATTAAGACAGAGGTGTTTTTGTCACACGAGAATGGTATTTTTATTAATATGCATAAATACAATAAAATATTATTAGAACTCTTAGAGTATTAACTCTATCTCAAGGCTGGTTCACTTTGGCGATTTTTGCTGCGAGTTTTTAGGAGATTTTGAAAAATATATATTTTGTCTTATCCTTGTGAAGAGACGAGTGAGAGTTTATAACATTATTCGCAATGATCAAATTGACTTCAAAAACCCCAAGTGTAAACGGGCCTTTATGAATGGGAGGGTTTGATGAGCAGCCATACTAGGTTCTTCCCAGTTTTACGACCTGGATCTTATTTTACCACAACTCTGATATCATTATATATATGCTTTGCATAAAATATTTGCCTTTCKGTGTTTTCAGTGGCTTATAAAATATATAAAATATATATATGAGTATAAACTTGTATGATTTTGCGTAAATTTAGTGGGTTTACTGTGGTTTGACCAGATCGCATAAAACGATGGCCAAATGAGGTTGGTACTTGAGTACACATAGACTTACAGTCTACAAACGCTTTTGAGCGGGGAAAAAGCATTTCTGATTCCAACTTTCCTAACCACTTCGCAGGCCTGTCTGTTGCGCCTGCGCGAGACACACCSTCGSCGCTGTCCACGAATGAGTTACAGGTTATAAACATATTTCTTACGGCCGAATGTCCTTTCTAAACCAAATCGCATTCTTCCGAATGACGTCGTAGGCCTGTCATGCGCTTTGTTAAGCGAGAAAGGTCCTTTGGGTTTTTCCGTATTTCTTTCTGTTGCTTGTTTCTTGTCTTCGTTATTGTTAGCATCGGGTGATTCAATCCCACACGCCTGGTCCCGATGTCCCGCGGGATTCCCGGACTTAACTCKTTGCAGAGTRAACATCTTTTGGCTATTATTTTTATTTTCTTCGTCCAATTTCTCAGCTGCCACGCCCTTTCCTTTTTCGACGAAAAAAGGATTTTTCTTTCTTTGTGTGATCGGACTTGATCTTGTCATAAATTTGTGTTTCGAGCCATTTTCTTCGTTCAAGTCGCGGATCGACTTCGACGGCTTCAACTGACATTCGACATAATCTTTTCGTTGCGTTTCAGGGCTGTTTCTCATGTCTCTCATAACCGCATCAGTTTTATCTGGGAATGATTGTGCTCTCTTCCTTTTTTCCATTGACGGCGACCGTCTTAAACCAAGGGTCGGGATTTTAAGTGTGTCTCTCTTGTCGATAGTTCGGTGCATAAGCACGCGCTTAAGTAATTCCTTCAACAAATCGTGAACTTCGTTATAACCTTCCGATATCGATACCTCGTAGAAAGTACATTCGACTTCGTTTGATAATGCGATACCTTCCTCGATGTCGACACGTCGTAAGTGATCCAAGTCCTTTTTAGTTGCAACAATTACTATCGACATCGATTCGACATTGCTTCTGTGATCTTTGATATAGCGTGCGATGCTTTGCGCCTCGTCGAAACTCGAGCGATCGACGATTGAGTACAGAATRATGAACAGGTCGCCTCGTCTTGTGGAACGTCTGATCTTGACATCGGTGTTCTAAAACAATTAATTTTGAATCAGTGCTGCACGAAAGGCCTTTTTTATAATAGATGCTACCATTTGGATCATATAGATGCTGGGACCAGAGATCACAGAATAAGATCAATTAAGATCACCACATGAAGATATGGGCCGAATATCACTCACTATCATCATCATCATCATCATCATCATCATCATCATCATCACCAACCACCATCAACATCATTATCACCATCATCATCATCATCACCACCAACCACCACCACCAGCATCATCATCATCATCAACATCATTATCATCATCATCACCAGCATCACCAACTACCACCAACACCACCACCACCATCATCATCATCATCATCATCATCATCATCATCATCATCATCATCATCATCATCATCATCATCATTACCTCTCCAGCCGTGTCCATGATATCTATCGTAATGTCTTCGTTTTCAATTTGTAGCATGTGACGGTAAGTAGATTCTTCAAAAAGAAAAAAAAAAGAAAAAAATTGCACTTTTTTAGGAACTGTTCACATTGAGAACGAGTCCCCTTTTTGGGCGTTTTCCTGTGTGGCAAACCTAAAAACTGTGTTGTCTTAGGGGAACTTTTCATCATCATCATCATCATTACCTCTCCAGCCGTGTCCATGATATCTATCGTAATGTCTTCGTTTTCAATTTGCAGCATGTGACGGTAAGTAGATTCTTCAAAAAGAAAAAGAAAAGTAAAAATTTGCACTTTGTTAGGAACTGTTCACATTCAGAACGAGTCCCTTTTTGGGGTTTTCCTGTGTGGCAAACCTAAAAACTGTGTTGTCTTAGGGGAACTTTCGGGGGTGGGCGTGGTCGTTTTGGTGAGTAATTCCTTAAGAACCTCCAAAACTCTAACTCTTCTAAATAGTGGCGTTTTTTCTTCATTTTGTTAAAAAAAAAAAAATAAACTGAGCAAAATAAACAAAATGAATTGTTGTTGTTCTCATCTTACCAAGCGTTTGGTCGTATTCCCCTATGAACCGCCGCGTCATGAAACGAACTGTTAACGCTGCAAATAATATAGATTCAGTTAAGGGCGGTGGGTACTATTTGCGTGCTTAGTTTACGTGTACACGTACGCAGCTCGGAAAACGTTTAGTATTTTCATGCGTAAGATAGAACGTTTGATGAACGTTTACGCGTCATTCAATAGAACGTAAGCATACACGCATGTCATATCAAGTGATGACTTCCACGAGAAAACGATATCACACGAGTCATGTAGCAAACTTCCATATCATAAACAGAAAGCACAACATCGCATGCATTAACTTATTGACTTCAAGAAACGCAGCTCGCACGTAATCACACGCTGTCGTTAGCAATGCCTATTGCGCAAGTGTAAACATAGCAGAACATAGCCTTTCGAAGCCTCGAGCGTAAACGTAAATATGATTTTACGCAATAATGCCGCAACAGACATGTAACTGATACGATACGAATGTTCATAATTTTTATAATCTCGAGCCCACAGTCTTCACCACTAATGTCAGCGGTGCGAATTGAATTCTGATGGATGTCAAATGTGCGGGCTCTCGGCGCATTCGGTCATCATCTACAATCGATGTATGTATATCCAGTTCTTAATCGTAAACTCAAGCGTAATCATATATAGCACGCAAACATTTTAAAAGAAGCACAGTTTGAACTTAATATGTTTTAGCAATAATGTAGGCGTGAAGGAATCCAGCTTCAGTAATATAAGGTCGATTTCGACATTGTAAGGTAAAGGTCACATCATAACAATCATCAGTGTTTTTTATACTGTAAAGGTTTGTACAACATCCTACAAGTCCTGGCTGCACGTACCGGCTCTYGCATGCATGGCACGCTTAAAACAACAAAGTGGCGAAGTCCAAAGTAATTTCAAAATTAAATAATTTACCGCTCGTGTTATGATTGAAATGAAATGAAATTCTTTTTATTTTGAAGTTTTGTAAGGAACACTTAGAAACCTAATGTCATAGAGCTGATGAAGCTGAGGTACTTGAGAAGGGAAGTGCTAGTCTTAGTTGTCTACGAGCAGAGAGTTCTTCCACCAAACGAAATCTCTTCTCGCAGGGAATTAAAAACRTTCACTTACCAGATTTTCCAACACCGTCTTTACCAAGCAACACAACACGAAGAGGTTTTACATTTGAACCTTGGTTCTGAGCTGTTCTTCGTCTTCTCATCTCTACCAGTTCTACAGGAATAAACGCATTAAGATTAYCGATTATTCCGCCTATATAATCCTCCAAGTCATGTATGTACAGACAACTATATCATACAGATATACTGTCATCAGGGTGAAGGACAGGGCACTTTGCAGACACAAAGGGCTCCATGATACAGACAWCTTAACGTGAAGTATTGCAGGCATTTGTATAACTTGATACATGTGCATTAATTCACGAGCTTCATCAACTAACAATTATCAACAATTAGTTAAACATCAACATAGTACGAGTTGCTTTATAATATGGAAACTTTCCAGACGATTCCATAACTAGTAACTGGTTTTCGCTCCTGTTTTTGTTTTCGGTTTGTCGCTCAATAGCGTCAAAAAATCGAACCGAGAGCGAACTGGGACCGACTTATGGAAGTAGTCTAGGGAACTATCCTACATGAATGACTCCCTCTCAAAATCCATGAAAGACAGTACCTAATATTATGAGCTCAGCGCTAGATGAAACAGTCGGGCCTTAACGCAGTATTTTGCAAACCCGGTGATGCCTCTACTCAAATAAGTCGATGTGACGTCAATAGGAGAATTAACCAAAATTTTCCGTTCATCATAAAATATCTTGTCCAAATATTTACATTCCAGTTTCTTCTGAAAATATGCTTGCATTTCCGAGGTGAACAGTGCCTGGTATTACCCGCCTAAGCCAATTTGATCTCTAAGTATATTATAACTAGCCGTCTTATAATTTTGAATCACCTTTATTGACGTCATTGAGAATTGGAGATGTTGTTTTTTTGCTGAGATCATGTCTCTATCTGTATAAATAGACGCGCGACAATGCTCCTTCCAACCGTGAGTGAGGATTTGCGGGTCAAACATGCCATCATCAACAWASTGATGGTAACATATTGAATGCAGACTTGTGTAATCACATATGGAAAGAACTAGAATTTAATTATATATTTCCAAAACGATTAACTAATAATATCTATAACACCACAAACGGGTGCACTGTGGGTAATTTCCACTGAAAGTGGCTAGAAAACAACCTTGTTAAAGCAAATATCGCGAACTATTCTTACTGTTCGTCGATAAAGATGGTTTTTGGATACTACTTGGATATTGATTATCATCAAAATATTAGTATTTATTACTATTTATGCATATACCCACCGATATCAGTCTTAATTAACTTTTACAATTTCTAGCTGTACATATGGACCATATGTCTGATATGTACATATAWACAAGAAATACAGCACAGCTCAAAYGATTGATGCTTACATATAGCAGCTATATATCTATTGGATGTAAWAATGCCGAATACGTTAGCTATACTGACACTTTAAGAACTTTATATCCCAGTTTTGCGTACTTTTGGAATATCCTGAGCCTCCTGTCATATTGGGCAGCGTTAAGGCTATGTTGAAAGCGCATGTACAGAAATTCAAAACGCTCTGCCTGCTCTGCATAAACGTTTAAGATTTCTAGACTTGATAAATTGACATTATGAATTAATTCCTGTCAACAGAARGCAAAGATATAAAATGGAAACGTTTTGAGCGTTTGTTGTTTTGCTTTATTTTCGATTTATTCGGCTTTTTTATTCTTTTTATGAAGTTTATTTCTTTCTGAAGGTACTGTATTTTCATTTGTAATATTTGGGATATGTCGCCGACATCGTTATTATAGATAGCTGGTAAGTTTTTACCGTATATAAATAAAGAATGCAGACTTACATGTTTTCTCGTTAAAAAACGAATTTTAGTCAATTGCAAATGAAATCCCAGAAACTCAAAGTCTATTGGTATTACTAAACATTTCACAACAAGCATTTTACTTTGTGCCTCAGTTCAACATCGAAAGGTAAACGACTCGTGCAATTCAAAATTTTATTGCTTGGCTTTCCTGTTTAATAATGTTTTATCGAAAAGCTTTCCATGGAATTTAAAAGTTGAATGGCCACCAAAGAATTGATGTTGGAAGGTGTTGGATTKGATAACCACTTGAATCGAACTTGAAATATTTCTCTGGCTCGGTTTAAAAACGTTTAACTGTACGCAAGCCAAAAGTAATGAAATCATCTATCAATCTAGCTAAGTGTCTATAGTACATATTTCATAGTTTTTTTGGCATACTTTTCTAACCTGTTTAAAACCAATCAATGATAAAATAACTTACTACTTCTCCACTCGTCACCACTCGTAAAGCACGCGTTTGTATATCCCACRCATGTAACACCAAACCAGCTTCTATGGCTGAAGAAACCACGAAAATGTTGCTCCAGGGACAAGTGTAGTAGCTTTACTAATAAGCTCTTACAACATACCAAAATTTATACGAACTTCGAGTGAAATACGAGTTTAARAGTCAAGAGTGGAACAATAATAACAAGCGGTAGGAATGCAACGCAAGAAATGGGTGACCCGGAAAGGCTGGCCGGGCGAGCCAACGTCAGTCTACTAAATCTCTCCTTTCAAGTAACGTCTGCTTGCGAGGTCAAAATGTGCAATGTCCGTTGAGCGAGAAAACACAGACGCATATATTGAGAAGCATAAAAAACGCTTCATCAATAAAAGAGAAAAAAATCAAACAAAAAGTTTAGACAAACAGTCAACAAAACTTGATTTAATTGATCCTCTATTAATTTTTCTTCGACAAATTGATTGTTTTTTTATATATATATATAAAGTATTTCTCTTTAGCTAATTGCATAATTCAAAACCTAATTTTCATCGATTTACAGCGTTATTAAATTTAGCCAGGGAATATTATCGCGACATAACAATTGCTTTGAACAGTTAATTGTTTTGCCGTTAATCTTAATGTGATTTATCTTGTTTGTTATTCGTATCTTTTTAACCTCGTGACAATTTCTAGCATCGTCTAATAATTTCTGATAGTGCACGTTTAAATTGTTTATTGTCTTTGCCGTCCTTCACTTTGCTGTTAAAATGTTTTACCATTTTTCACGAATTTTCATGGATTTTCACCGATGCGTTTAGATAAGAAAAATCATACATCGTAAAGATTTGCTATTATACGATTAACACTCCAGAACTTAAATATATTTAACGGATTCATTACTGACATGATACATTCAATCTAACGTTCTACAAACATAAAATCGAGTTTGKCGAAAGTTCCAGAACTTCAAATCAGTTGGCGATCGACGTATTGTCCATGTGCAATTCCGATTTGTATACGGGTGTGGCAGCGGTATTGTTGAAAAGGTCATGTAGTTAACGAGAGCTAAATCTGCACTGATCCTGAACATAAGCTCACTATGCTTTAGTTAACTGGGAACTTTTAACAATACTCTAAYGCCTAAAGTACTCACTACCAGTCCTCGCGGGTTAAACTGAAGAAAATCTCTTTTTGTCAGGTAGGGTAAGAGGACTCATAACGATAAACCTAAGTGCATAATGTACAACTGGGCTGAGTTTCTAAGATCTATGTGTCGCTGAAATACTCTACGTCAAGGCAATATCACGAYCAACATCATGAATGTCAAGGTTAATTATTTTTAGCTTTTGAAAACAAGTGCAAATAGGTAATTGACTCCAGTTTTTATATAGAAATATAGGTTGTCTTTCACCGTCATCGGTTATTTTACGCCCTCTTCCCCTTTATTAAATGAAGCACTTGTCTGCCGGCCATGACCTTCAGGAAGACGTATTACCATTGGCGCTTTTGTTTTTGTTTTCGTCCACATATATAATTCACCTTAACACAAGCGCAAGACGGACCTGATTGCAAAATAGCCGTCATGCTATACTTTTGAATAAGTGTAATCAATAATATAAAAGMGAAGCATCCAGATTGTAGCCAAATCTCAACCTTAAAATCATTTTGTCACATAGTTTTTTCTCAAATAAGAATCAATCTGATCATCATATTGTCTCCAAGAAGCACATCCCAAATCCATTGAATGAAAAGCATTTTTGAAACTAAACAAACAGCCCAGGTAAATCCCAGCTCCCATTTTACCCCTTCAGCGCGCGCCCTGATTGGATGATGTCCGTGTATAAGTGCAAATCAAATGAAAAAGAAGTGGTATGACATTCTCTGTCGTCTTGTCGTTTTGGGCCAGGAAGATCTGGAAACACTGATACCTCCGTACCTCAAGATYGCTTCTCATACCATTTACTTGGCAGTGTCTGTTTCTTTCAGCGTGGTCTTACCACACAGCCTGATCTGGTAATGGGTTACATGTGGAGAAKGCCAAGACAGAACTGTGCGCATGCTTTTAGATTTTACATTTCACAAATTGCACGTCCAAAGTTGCCAGACATCCCTAGTCAGAGGCCTTAAGGGTAGAGTTACCAACTTCATAGATTTTGCGAAGAATTTAGAATTTTATCAGCATGACAAGGATTTATCCAGTAGAACAACCCCAACCGCCCCCTTCCCCCTCCCCCCTTTGTACCAGCAGCATCAGGCMAGCCATTTCTTTGGCTGACTTTTCCAACGTGTGATTGGAAAACAAATATGCGTATACCGTTTATTCCTCACAGCGAGGCACACATCTGTTGAATTTTAATTTGGACGCGATATTGGAAAAAGGTATAGCCAACTGCGTATTTAATAYTCAGTAGTCTTTATACCATATCATCTCGGCGGGTATAAGAAGTTATTGTGTAAATTAATAGAGCTTGCGTGTCCTGATACCATTWGTCAAACACGAAACGAAATAATTTAAGGAACTCAGTCTCAACGTTTTTGTCGAYACACAGAAGTAATCCATTGGAATTAAAGCGTAATTTTAATAAGTACGTTAATATAATTTCACGTTTAGAAGTGTTTTTTTTATTATACAGAGTAGAAAAATGTGATAGTAAAAGAGCAATAAAGTATCATGCAAAGAAACACAAAGAAAGKTTTAAACTGAATAGTAATGAAGTTTTGGACTGTAAATTACATTTCAAGGCTTAACCAAAAACCACTCAAACCCTCGATATACAATTTAGTGCACTAACGTAATTACTCTTTATATTACATTGTTACCTTGTCTTTGATTGATTATTATTACACTCAATATGCTTTGACAATCTCACTTTGTTATTTAAAACCACTTTAACCTTATTTTACTTCGACTGGAACTTAATTTAGCTTGTTATTTTTTTATATTCTGGACTGTTGTGTCTACAGATATATCCCGATGAAAGAGGTCGAGTTGAGAGTAGTATAACATGGCTTTTTCAGACCTGTCTGCTTTTGTGGTTTCTAAGCTATCCTACCCACTATACATGATTATATATGCTATATAAATGATGGCAATCACCGATATTCCGTGCATCAATAGATTAAATTCTCCACAAGACTCAACATCAACGTTAACATGGGGTTCTAATTTACTAGTATTCCAAATATGCACATCAAGTTAGCGAGGATTGAACTGACCTTTCAATTGCTGTAGCTTCAGGATACGGAATATGGTAAGATTGCTTCCAAATGGATTGCCTGGAAAGTTGCGTTTTTCTGGGCTGGTCGTTATTGATACYAGAACAGATAAGAAACTTTATCGACGGATTAATGAACGTTTGCACGTAAATATACTTCTGATGTGGGATTATAATCACAACATTGGACGTAGGTTAAGTACCTACTTGGAGTATTTACCCAAGACTTGACGAGGGATGTGGAATTTGTATTATGACTGCCACCTTCTGTTCGCGTGCAGTCTGTCTACTAATATATATGATTTGATCGCCATGAAAATCGTGGAGTCAGTTTTGTTTGGGGTGATTTTGCTGTCTGTTTTTAAACGTGAGAAGAGAGAGGGGTAATTAGATGGCTAAGATGTCAACGGCTCATAAAAATGATCTAGATAATGATCTGGTTTAAGCCTTTAATGAGCCCTTACCACATTATTCAGAGCTTGTTAATTATACGACTGGTATAAGTAGAGATAGAGAAAAATTTAAAATGTATGTAAAATATACATGGAAGATCATGAAATGATTTTTTTTTTTTCACTTAACACGAATAGTGTGATTACAAGTGCAGCTATTTTTTGCTGGTAGATTAAAGTTTTTCCCGTTACTCTTGGATTGCCCCTTTTAACGTTACATTGACAATTAGAGACCGCAAACGTTTAGGCTGTTTATATTTAGAATTGTGTAAACGAGGTCAGATTTACATTTAAGACTGTACGTTCCAAGCATTTTCGTGTCCACATGACCCGAGGCAACGTCGTCATACACAAATTAATTAAAGATTTAGGTCTGCCGTTGTACCAAGAAGAGCATACCATACTACTTTTAAAGAATTGAGAACATTTTTAAAAATAGCACTTCCCAAATTCTTAGCCATGTCTGAAAGATCGATCTTTTTGTGTTATCTAACTCTACGTATATATCAAATAGAGTGATCTCACTTAAACCGTGCAACTGTACAAAATCTAAGCAGTACAAACTGAATCTGTACTAAAAGTGGACCTGAAKCAAGACTGTATTGAATGCTTCAATTCAATTTTCGTACCCGCATGCAAATACAACTAAATAGCACTATTTAGTTTGTACAGTTGCACGGTTTAAGTCAGATCTTTTTAACCTATGACTAGATGTATATGAAAATATATGTAAAGTATACATGAACGAATTCTGAACAATTCCCATAAAAGCAATTCCACTTCTTTTCCTGATCGAAGGAAATAAATGGACTTTACTCTTTAGTATAGGACTCATAAGTAAGGTACTTATAAATTCGCCGGATTCAAATGGAACTCATTGCATCGGAGGTATGTGAAGTGGTTTAATTTCATTAACTTAAGAATKAACGTTAGCTCACTTGTGCTCCTTGCACTTTTACTCACTCTCTTGTGGTATATTATCGATATACACGACAGCAGTTCCCTAATTACGGSTTCAATTAAGTGTGCTTTCTTTCAAAGGTTAAGAAAAAMYACAGTATTTGGTTTGGATTCTATGCCAGACTCCTTTAGCTCACCACTAATAGACCTTAATAGTCAAATGTGGTAAATGTCATAGATACTGGCTTTCCACTAATCTAGTGCCCAATACTAAACCATTCGTTATGCAATTAGCAACACTTATTATTCATCATATATGGAACTGGGCAGATGCCAAAACAAACAATCYAACAAGACTATTACTAGTTCCACAATGGAGTAAATCTATCTACAAAAGAAACAGTCTCGCTAACCTTTTTCAGTTGTTTATCAAAAATATCTTCACATCTCCTAACAGCGATACGCCAACCTTTCCAGCAGTTCAAGGGTTCCTCAAATGCTCGACTAAATTGTGAATAATGTAACCCAATATGAAGCAATCCAAGACAACATTTCTCCATCTGTGAATTGCCAATAGGACGTCCATAAAAAAATTCACTTGATGGTTAAAATTAGAACGCTCAATTCTCCAAGAAGTGAAAAAGCTTCAACGCGTCTTCGAAAAAGTGTGATTATTTGTTAGAGTTATAATYATAACCGATGAAAATTGTTTACAGACAATTTRATCATTGTCAATAGATGAAAATGCGGCTARTTTTGCGTTTGCTTTCGTTCTTGCCCCAAGGCGTGAGTATGTCATATCGATCAACATAGGCGACCTGCTCAGCTCTATCATGTGCGAGGTGATGAGGATAAACATGATGAACCTGCACAGCGTTTGGAATTATGTTCCTCTTGGTTTCTCGSTTCTCCTAATTATCGCGATCTTTCAATGACTTTCGGCTTGCCATCTCTGCTTTCGACACTGCTGAAATTACAGGCCACCCAACTGTAGACGAATTTCCCTTYAATAAAATGGAACCCAGGAAACTTTTAAAACGCGTTCGGGAATTCTTTCATTTTTTTTAACTATTATTTTATACATTCACTTTGTTCCTTTCGCCATCAATGGAAAACTTGGGTATATCAGTGAGGAATTTTTTGAGCAAGCGAGAAATTCAATATCCAAATGTAAAAGGTCTTTTCCACAGCGAAAGGAAATAATTCCACAGCATGTAGTCTTGGAACACTCGGGTCCAAAGTAACATTTTCGTATCTTTGACATACATAGAAAAATGGTGGGAACTAGCGGTAAACTAGTGTGAGCTGCGTCGGTGTTTCTAAAGAAACAGTTGTGTAAAGAAGATAAGTTTAACACCGTAAAAAAGTATGGGAAATAACTTACTGACGTTTCGGATGTTAATCCTTCGTCGGAGTACGTAAAGAGAGAGAAAACAGTAATGCTAAAAAGTTAGACAAGTTCGCTTTTTATTTTTACGTATGGAAATCAAGGAAAATTTTGACAAGGTTTTCAGTCTTTTCAGTATTACTGTGCATGGAAGTGAATGGTGGTGTTTCATTCTACAGTYTTTTCCTTGTCTCTTAATTCTATTTTATCCGCCTTTCTGGAACTCTCTTTTCTTGAAGTTGTTAATACAAAAAAAATAACGCATGCAGATAGGTTTTTSAACTAATTTCAGTTCCTCGCTGATCGTCTAATTTGTATACTTTTGCTTCTCCACATTTTTCCTCATTTTCAACGTTTTCTAATTAATTTCCTGCTGAATGCTCATTGTCATCATATCACACCAGTTACGTAACACTTCATCATTACTCATTTTATGGCAAAGGCAGTTTCCACTCAGTTGAAGAAAGACTGCTAATTCTGACTAGTATAATATTGAATAAATTTTGCAATTTGATTGGCTTAGAGGAGTGGTATTTATCCTTAATAGTGGTATTTCAAATTGTACAATTTTAGTCAACTATTTTATAAAAAAAATAGTCGATTCGCTCGTGAAATTTTGTTTGAAAATTTAGAAATATAATGCGTGGTATTTATCCAAAATAAAACTACAAAACATGCTATTACCTATACAAAAACACATCTATGACGTCTTTGCACCATTAAAACGCTTCCAAGTACACGATACTATATAATTTTTTATCAAAGACTCGAAAAACGGCGGAGAGAAATGAATAAGTGTTAGAAAATCCGATTAGATGAGTAGAGAGGTAATAATAGAGCTCTCAGGAATAAGAGGCACTTACGCAGGCTCCTAATTCATTTCCCAAACTTAATATTCATGAAAGAGTAACCACTGAAGACAATATGCTTTAAATATATTCTTTGGATATTTTCATGTGTAATTTCAATAAAGCAAATTCGCAGTTCTATTTTACTCGCCTTTGCAGAACAGGCTTCGGCGATAGGCAWTTTTTGGATGAAAGAGATAAATAGAATTGCGGAGAATAATTGTTGTTATGGCAAGTTATCAAATGGTACAACAACAAAAATACAATGGTATATTCGAAACAGTCTAAGAGGCATTTTGTCTAAAATCAACCGATATTATTTGAATTTTGATGAGAATTACAGCGCATCTGGAAATTTATATCGCAATAATTGTCGTCTCGAATCATCCGATGCTATCCCGACTATTTCCGAAAAATTTCCGACGCTAAATTTGAGGTTCGACGAGATGTAACAATGATTAACCGAAGTTTTCCGATGTTAATTGTCTTTTCTCTAGTCGCAGGTGTATAAACAAGAACTTTGAAAGCTTTATTCATTGTTGCCCACGAAATGTTTACACRYAAAGAGTCCCAAATAAACGATAAAATCTCTCGTAAGAATTCATTTGTCTACAAATTAGACTACGATCAATATTCTTCACATGTTGTTAGGTCGATAGATGCTTTATTAAAAGAAAAACATCCAATCACCCTCAAGGGACGAGATCATGTGAATTSAATAAGGCACCTCGGCCTCCGTCAACCAATTATCGAAATGCACTATATCTATTAATGCTAGTTTTTGTTTTAAATACATTATAACATCTTTTAGACCAGTTTAATGGTCATCTCACTTACTTCTTAAACAGATTGCTAAAAAAGTACGGAATTAGGAAATCGCTATCGGCTTGATTTTGGAATTTCAAATCATGATRCTATGAAAACAGGATATTTTCTATGTAAGAGGCCATTTAGCGGACAAATAACCTGTCAATAATAATCCCTAATCGGCTTCTTATTGGTTCGGTTGCCCAGCAAACGTCCAGTCGAAAACTAAACAGTGTAGAAATTTAAAATTAAAAACGAAGGAAAATACACGGAAGTACACTGATCATTGGTCGTGAATTGCATCGATGTTTTGTGGTCTTGACTAACAATTTCATTATTATCAATCTGAAAGATCAGAAAGCTGAAGAAGTATACTCACGTCGAAACAAGMCACACGGTCAACTTCTTCGTAATGTGATGGAAAAATCCTAATTTTTTGGAGAGCTCTTCAAATATATTCGACAAACAAAAATATTTCAAGATCTTTTGGAAATCAATAAAAAGGGGTCCGGACACGTTTTCKTCTTAAAAGGATTTCCACAATTCGMAGAGAAGGAGCGATTCCTAAGTTAAGCAGTCGAACMCACATATTTTTCTGTTCATGATGCAGAATATCTCATTGACAAGCAACACAAGTTTTACAAACGATAAAGGATTCCGGTTCTACAACGAAAGGTATATTCTTTTACTTCGCGAAAGAAATCCTGGGCAAATTGTTGCAGAATCTGGTCTTCTCCTGATAATCGACTTCTTTTCTGTTTTTGGGAATATGGCTCTCTGCTGGATCATGTACAAAAGCTCATCTCTTCGAACTCTCACCAATGTGTTCATCCTCGTGCTGGCCGCTTCGGATATTCTTATGGGCTTGCTTTGCGTACCATTCTCCGTTGCAGTCCTCATAASAGGAAAATGGATATTTGGTGTCCACATATGTAGAATGCAATGCTTTCTTATATACGCTCTCGGCTTCGGCTCGCTGCAGACTATGACTTTGGTCGCTGTTAACCGTTATTATAGAATTGTTAAACCAAATCAGTATAGAAATATATTTACTTTAAGATCGACCTTGGGAACAATAAYCCTCGTTTGGGCATTCACTGTGTCATTTCTGGCTATACCTTTCTTGACGAAGARCGTTCTTTCGCAGTTYAGTGCCGGAAAAAGTGCTTGTGTRATGTTCCGAAACCCCGATTCGAGCGAGGGATCTATTATCGCTGTGAAYATGACTATTGTAACCCTATCRGCAATTATCCCCACAGTCATCATTGTATTCTGTTACTGTCGAATCTTCACTTTGGTTGGGGCTCATTTTACACGCGTGCGACCAACATTAGCGACAAGAAGTACATCTTCACAGTTAAAATCAAATCTACTCGAGATCAAATCAACACGCACACTCTTCTTGGTGTTGGTAGCGTTCGCCGTTTGCTGGCTGCCTGTGTTTATCATTGAAATAATCCAAACGTACTTTATTCCTTGGTGGAATCTCTCTCGGTCTGCCCATCTACTTTGGACATTCTGTGGGTGTTTGCGAAGTGCCGTGAACCCCTTCATTTTCGCATCCACCAGTCGATCGTTCAGAAAACGGTTTTGGATAGTGCTAAAATTCGGGAATAGTGATAGCACTGACATTCTTTCTAATACGATGCACAAACGGAAATCACAGACTATTAGAGTGAGTGAAGTAAGGGCCGAAGGACTTCCTATTCAATATTAGTATTCGGGATGTATTGGGCTGCATGTTTGTATTTCCATAAATAACAGTTTGAAAAATGATAACAGTCTTGGATAATAACAAGCTTTGTAGGGGAAATTAAATTAAAAACACCAGATTGAATATTGGTTTCTCWAAATGTATATTCAATGATTTTTCAATATTCACGCATGAGTTTCAGGCCTTCTGAGATTCTTATACTCGGGTTATTGCAAATGCTGAAATGGGAGTTCATTATCTTTAATATCTATAGAACCTTATAATCTTAAGCTATTTTTAATCACTATGAATTTTGACGCGATCTATATTAAATACTGTCTGATGAGTGCGTAGCACGAAACTCGGAGTTACAGCAAAATCTTGCCTCTTTGATATTATATATTTAATTTCAAAGCATAATAAGAAAAAAAAACACTCTTTTTTAATGACTATTTTTAAAAACTATAAAACAAAAAATTGACATATTTTCTTAAAGGGGAACTATTAAAAATGTTCATCTTAAAAAATACAAAAACACTAGATATCTTACTAGATATCTTACGTCTTGTTTTATAAACGCACTCGGTTCCTAGTACAGCACTTACCMGCTTATAAGAACCCATTTTTTCAAWTTTTTTAGCCTGAATAGGYTCTTATGTAARTGGTGCTTAGTGGAAYCTTAGGCAACGCAGGTTGTGAAATAAGTTCATAATTAATGAGAAATATATTGTACACATGTGAATAGGTGCCATGTACTTATATATTAACAATGCCAAAACAGGTCTGGCCTTTAGTATGTGACAAGGACCCATTTTAGTAGACTCAAACATCATTTCTACTAACTTGGATACATGTATACAAGTTCACTACGTTTGAGTCATGTTTATTTTAGGTTGAATTTTTAGGTTTAACTTTCTATAAGAACCTGTTTCAAATTTTAGGATAAAAAGGTCCTTATGTAAATAGGGTTTAAATTAATACTTTTAGGCTAACAGAGGTTCTTAAATTACAGGTTCTTTGAAGCGGGTAAGTACATGTACAATGCATGTTATCGTCGTATGTTTTTAAGTCAAATTAATTTGTATGYGTTGATCCTATAAAATTCACCGAAACTTCTGACATATCAGCTTTATTTGAAGTGGATTTGAATAATGAACACATTGTTCAGCAGTATTAACAGATGAAACGCGAAAAATGACAACTCTGACAGATTTTTCTATCGTCTGACAGTGCAATACGCAAACATAATTACTGTTTCATCCCCGTATGTCTAATGCTCACCAAACTTTAGACAAAGCTCCGTCTGTACAGCTGAACAACGCATATTTCACAAGATATATTTTTTTCCTGTTTATAACACGGGAGTGAGAAAGGATAAGTTCAATTGAAATSCTTCCTCTAAAGAGAATTGACAAGAAAAAAATCATAGCGTAGATGAATAAAAGATCAGCGWCATTTAAAGKGACATAGTCCACCAGCATCCCTTTCGAGCTTTTRTTTATGTTTGAAAATAGAAATACATCGTAATATAAGCAAAAACKTACTCTTTATTACTCCTKTATACTTTTTGAATGGAGATGCTTTAGGATTCGACCTTTAATCCGATGGATGGAAACGGATTGCGAATGGATATTCGAAGYCAYCTCATTTTCCATATATGAAAAATCTAAAACCCGACCGCACTGCATGCTAGTGGACCATGTCCCTTTAACATCCATAAGCTATTATCTAACATAAGTTGTTAGGCACAGTTAAGACTATATTTTTATCAGGATACTGACGAGGTTCTTATATTAATCTTAGTTTACAGCCACAATCAAACAATATTTTCATATAKTGAAGAAAGGACGCTGCAGTTTGTAATACATTTATCTCTTCTATAGACTATAGGAGWAACGAGGCTGAAATTAATGGTCAACTAGGGCAAAAACATAGCCAATGTACCCCTTACACTACAATTTTATATTTATAACAATTTTTTTTTATATTTACAAGACTTTTTTATGTATAATGGTATAATTAACAACTATAGAACTGAAAGTGAGTGCTTTCGGACATTTTTGAGTGTGTTTCAAATGCCAAGCGTGCGTTTATCAGAGACTGTCAGAGAATAAACCACAGGCTGAGACTTATTTATTTGTTTTATTATATAGATTTTGAGCAAAACTCCAGCAAAAATCCATTTTGTTACCTTTTTCAAAAATCGCTCGCGCACAATCGTGGTTTATACTCARAGTAAACCACACTTTTTTTGGCCAATCAGAGCGCGCGTTAGAAATCATCTATATAATAAATTAAGATCAATTCTTTAATGTCATATTATATATGAGGCACACGATACTGGTAAATTGTGCCACACAATGTTCAATGATCCTTCTATTAGGACGTTTATTTGTGAATGAAAATGATTTCTCAATACACTTATTTCAAAAAACGTTGTCGGGGAGAACGGCGAGCGGCGATTGTCGAAGGGAGAATGCACGACAAAAAAAGWCTATGGTTACGCTGTCTGACATACAAAAAATTCAATTGTTGGGTTTACTTGCGTGAAAATGGAGACTAAATGAAACCAATGATGACCATAGAATATCTTACGGTAAAAAATCAGTTATTATTTCCCATCCATTAGCAAAACCCATGACTCCTTTCGGACGTACAATCGCCGTTTGACAATTTCCATTCGCCATTTTATCCGACAACCTTTTTTGAAATAGGTATATATCAATGTTTAGTCACCTACTTATCAGGTTAGGATG